GGATATCCAGGACTTGAACTCAGACCTGGGCCAAGCAAGCCTAATAGACATTTACAGAACTCTCCACCCCAAATCCACAGAATATACGTTCTTCTCAGCACCACATCCCACCTACTCTAAAATTGACAACATAATTGGGAGTAAATCACTCCTCAGCAAACGCAAAAGAACGGAAATCGTAACAAACAGTCTCTCAGACCACAGTGCAATCAAGTTAGAACTCAGAATTCAAAAACTAACCCAGAACCGCACAGCTTCATGGAAACTGAACAACTTGCTCTTGAATGTTGACTGGATAAACAATGAAATGAAGGCAGAAATAAAGATGTTCTTCGAAACCAACGAGAATGAAGACACAACATACCAGAATCTCTGGGACACATTTAAAGCAGTCTCTAGAGGAAAATATATAGCAATAAGTGCCCACATGAGAAGCAAGGAGAGATCAAAAATTGACACCCTCTCGTCAAAACTGAAAGAGCTAGAGGAGCAAGATCAAAAAACCTCAAAGTCTAGCAGAAGACAAGAAATAGCTAAGATCAGAGCAGAACTGAATGAGATAGAGACACAAAAAACCCTTCAAAAAATCAATAAATCCAGGAGCTGGTTTTTTGAAAAGATCAACAAAATAGACCACTAGCCAGATTAATAAAAAAGAAAAGAGAGAATAACCAAATTGATGCAATAAAAAACGATCAAGGGGATATCACCACAGATTCCACAGAAATTCAAACCATCATAAGAGATTATTACAAACAACTCTATGCACACAAACTAATAAACCTGGAAGAAATGGATAAATTCCTGGACACTTGCCTCCTGCCAAGCCTAAACCAGGAAGAAGCTGAAACCCTGAACAGACCCATAACAAGGTCTGAAGTTGAGGCAGGAATTAAGAGCTTACCACCCAAAAAAAGCTCAGGTCCAGATGGGTTCACAGCTGAATTCTACCAGACATACAAAGAGGAGCTGGTACCATTTCTTCTGAAACTATTCCAAACAACACAAAAAGAGGGAATTCTTCCCAAATCATTTTATGACACCAACATCATCCTGATTCCAAAACCCGGCAGAGACTCAACAAGAAAAGAAAACTACAGGCCAATATCCATGATGAACATAGATGCAAAAATCTTCAATAAAATACTGACAAGCCGATTGCAACAGCACATCAAAAAGCTAATCCACCATGATCAAGTAGGCTTCATCCCGGGGATGCAAGGCTGGTTCAACATACGCAAGTCTATAAACGTAATTCACCACATACACAGAACCAAAGACAAAAACCACATGATTATCTCAATTGATGCAGAGAAGGCCTTTGACAAAATTCAACAGCCCTTTATGCTAAAAACCCTCAATAAGCTAGGTATCGATGGAACGTATCTCAAAATAATAAAAGCTATTTATGACAAACCAACAGCCAATATCATACTGAATGGGCAAAAACTGGAAGCATTCCTTTTGAAATCTGGCACTAGACAAGGATGCCCTTTCACACCACTCCTATTCAATATAGTATTGGAAGTTCTAGTCAGAGCAATCAGGCAAGGAAAAGAAATAAAGGGTATTCAAATAGGAAAGGAGGAATTCAAATTTTCTCCGTTTGCAGCCAACCTGATTGTATATCTAGAAGACCCCATTGTCTCAGCCCAAAAGCTCCTGAAACTGATAAGCAACTTCAGCAAAGTCTCAGGATACAAAATCAATATGCAAAAAATCACAAACATTCCTAATACACCAATAACAGACTTAAAGAGAGCCAAATCAAGAATGAACTGCCATTCACAATTGCCACAAAGAGAATAAAATACCTAGGAATATAACTAACAAGGAACGTAAAGGACCTCTTCAAGGAGAACTACAAACCACTGCTCAACGAAATAAGAGAGGACACAAACAGATGGAGAAACATTCCATGTTCATGGTGAGGAAGAATCAATATCGTGAACATGGCCGTACTGCCCAAAGTAATTTACAGATTTAATGCTATCCGCATCAAGCTACCATTGACCTTCTTCAGAGAACTGGAAAAAACCACACTAAACTTCATATGGAACCAAAAGAGAGCCTGCATAGCCAAGTCAACTGTAAGCAAAAAGAACAAAGCGGGAGGCATCATACTACCGGACTTCAAACTATACTACAAGTCTACAGTAATCAAAACAGGATGGTACTGGTACCAAAACAGATATATAGACCAATGGAACAGAACAGAGGCCTTGGAGGCAACACCACACATCTACAACCATCCAATCTTTGACAAACCTGACAAAAACAAGCAACAGGGAAAGGGGTCTGTGTTTAATAAATGGTGTTGGGAAAACTGGCTAGCCATGTGCAGGAAGCAGAAACTGGACCCCTTCCTGACACCTTACACTAAAATTAACTCCAGATGGATTAAAGACTTAAACATAAGACCTAACACCATAACCCCCCCCCCAAAAAAAAAAAAAAAAACTTAGGCAAAACCATTCAGGACATAGGCATAGGCAAGGACTTCATCACCATACCACCAAAAACATTGGCAACAAAAGCCAAAATAGACAAATGGGACCTAATCAAACTCCACAGCTTCTGCACAGCAAAAGAAACAGTCATTAGAGTGAATCAGTAACCAACAGAATGGGAAAAAATTTTTACAATCTACCCATCTGACAAAGGGCTAATATCCAGAATCTACAAAGAACTAAAACAGATTTACAAGAAAAAACCAAACAAGCCCATTCAAAAGTGGGCAAAGGATATGAACAGACACTTTACAAAAGAAGACATACATGAGGCCAACAAACATATGAAAAAATGCTCATCATCACTGATCATTAGAGAAATGCAAATCAAAACTACGTTGAGATACCATCTCACGCCAGTTAGAATGGCGATCATTAAAAAATCTGGAGACAACAGATGCTGGAGAGGATGTGGAGAAATAGGAACGCTTTTACACTGTTGGTGGGAGTGTAAATTAGTTCAACCATTGTGGAAGACAGTGTGGCGATTCCTCAAGGACCTATAAATAGAAATTCCATTTGACCCAGCAATCCCATTACTGGGTATATAGCCAAAGGATTACAAATCGTTCTACTATAAGGACACGTGCACACGAATGTTCATTGCAGCTCTGTTTACAATAGCAAAGACCTGGAACCAACCCAAATGCCCATCGACGATAGACTGGATAGGGAAAATGTGGCACATATACACCATGGAATATTATGCAGCCATCAAAAACGATGAGTTTGGGTCCTTTGTAGGGACATGGATGAACCTGGAAACCATCATTCTCAGCAAACTGACAGAAGAGCAGAAGATCAAACACCACATGTTCTCACTCATAGGCGGGTGTTGAACAATGAGAACACATGGACACAGGGAGGGAAGCACTACACACTGGGGTCAGTTGGGGGGAAATAGGGGAGGGACGGTGGGGGGTGGGAAGCTGGGGAGAGATAGCAAGGGGAGAAATGCCAGATGTAGGTGATGGGGAGGAAGGCAGCAAATCACACTGCCACGTGTGTTCCTATGCAACAATTTTGCATGTTCTTCACATGTACCCCAAAACCTAAAATGCAATAAAATAAATAAATGGGAAAAAAAAAGATTTTCAATCCAATATTTTGGTTGAGATATCTGGAAAATTAGTTTAGTTGTAGTATTACTTAAATTAGCATTAGTTTTTAAATTACAATATTTTAAATAAGTTTCAAATAAATTAAAAAGTAATTAATTTGCAGTAAAAAAAAAATAGTGCTTTAGTTTATAAAGGTATTTCCTCTTGTTCTCCTACAGCAGTGTTTTCAAATTGTGTTTTTTGACCTGGGTCATGCCTAGCATTACCTCAAATTGAAATAAGAGCAAATATCAGAACACATGGAACATAGTAAGGGTAAGTATTGCTTTATGAAACTTTTCAGTTGTATATACACACAGGTGTATACTTCATCTAAAAATACATTGCTTACTTTGGGTTGCAGTTAAAACACAAACACAGAACACGGTCCTACAGGCTTCATATATTAGATATTATTATCACCCCCTACCCCCATTTTATAGCAAATATTGGTAAGTGCACAGTTAAGACACAAATCTAACTACAAATCACTGCTACCTCTGTCACACTAATCTGACTTTAAGGACAAACCCTGGCACCATGTTTTCACCAGAGGTAATAACTAAATTATCCCATGGAAAAAACTTATGTCCTACGCTTCTGGGTTTTAGTACAGTGAAGCTGAGGAAAGGAAAGAACCTTCCATTCCTCTGCTAACTTTTTCTCAAAAGGATTTTGAAACCGAAATTTTAATTGAAAGTCAATTTAGATGAGGGAAAAGAGATGGTCTCTTCAACTGGGATGCCGGATAGCACTCATTAGAAACCTGAGAAGTTATTTATAAAGCATATTAGTAAGTATAAAGAACAGCAAAACTAAGTCAAACAAATTGTAAACATCTCTTTAAATTACATTTTTATTTTCAAACATACACCAGAACTTTCAGGTGGAATAGTGTTGCCAAATGTTGGAATTATATTGAACACGGAAAAAATTGTGTTTTATATAAGTTTTGTGTAAGCTGATAGTAATTAGAATATTCTCTTTCTTTATTTTCTTGTTGTTGTTTTTTTCTCATTCTTGTTGCCCAGGCTGGAGTGCAATGGCACAATCTCGGCTCACCGCAACCTCTGCCTCCCGGGTTCAAGTGATTCTCCTGCCTCAGTCTCCCAAGTAGCTGGGATTACAGGCATGTGCCACCATGCCTGGCTAATTTTCTATTTTTAGTAGAGATGGGTTTTCTCCATGTTGGTCAAGCTGGTCTCGAACTCCCAGCCTCAGGTGGTCCACCTGCCTCAGCCTCACAAAGTGCTAGAATTACAGGTGTGAGCCATGTGCCTGGCCTCTCTTTCATTCTTTATGTAGTTCATTGTCACTTCCTTACATGTAAATTATAGTTGAATGATTTAGAACTTTACTGACCAATGTCATAACAATAGTTAACAGTACAATTATGGTTTATTTAATATAGTATACATTATCCATCATATACTTCGATAGAATGTTGTAAAAAACTTCGTTTTTCATAATATAGGAAATAAAGTTGGAAAGAACTCTTTGGTGGAAATACTTGAGATAGAGCAAGAGAGCATTCACAGCAAGGCCTGTAAACAATAAGATGTATGAAAAGTTGGGTAGCCACAGGTGTTCATTAAGGATGTGATTCCATTTGTAGAGTTATTTCTATTGTATAACCAGTACAGTATTACTGTTTTGAGGTCAATGTTCTTTTAAAATTTGATTTTGTGTAAAAAGAGGCTTTTTAGCCCTGAAAACCTTACATCTTTCATTTTGTCCATCCCATGAGTTAGAGTTCATTTTGACTCTGCAAGCTAGAATCAAAGGATTATGAAAGTCAGATCATTTAGATTTGATCAAGGGCACCATTAAATGATGTCAGGTTTTAGGCAGCAGACGGGTGTATAAAAAGAATATGAGCAAAGATTTCACTTACTGGGGCTCAGGCATAACTGGATGCCTGGGTTGTCCTGCCACTCCGCTGCCATCATCAGTACTCCTTGTTTTTCTGTTTTCTCTTTTAAGGTAGCTAAAAATGGCAGCCAAAAAAAAAATGTTGAGGCTTTTCTCAAGTATATATTCATGTTATGATGCAAAAGATAGGGTCAGCTTCTTCAGTTGAGTTATCTGAAAGTGTTAGACAGTGACACCATGCCAAACCCTGTTAAATTCATGCCATTAAAAAAGGTGGAGTGTTCTGCAAAGCCAGATTCTCTGCAGCTTTAAGATGGGACAGTATTGAAATATTCACAGGAATCTTCAAAGCCCTGAAAGCATAATATTAAATAGCCCTTTTAATTGCAAAGAAGAAAAACATGGAGAAACTTGTGAAACCTTGCATTCAGAGTGCTGCCACAAAGAAATTAAGGAATTCCAGAATTTCTTCATCTACTTCTGCAGTCTTAACTCTGAATTAATGACTGAATATATCAAACTTCAGATCTTAAAAAACATCAGCTCACCCTTCATTGCTGTTAGTTGAGATGAATCTACTGATGAAGAAAACTGTACTTTGCTTATGCTCAGAATAAGGCTTTCAAAACTGTGGATGTGCTGTTTTTATGAGCCTAGTACTTGACCACCAAACACAATATTTATGAAGCTGTATCAAATGAACTGAGTTGGATGAAATTTCATAGGAGTATATATTAATGGCACTACAGCAAACTGTATTAAATTTGGGTTTTTGGCAAACATTGAAGAAAACCAGCAGTCAAGATGTATTGCAGCCATCATCACCAAACATCAACTTTCATTGATTACCCGTAACCTACAGGTAATCTTCAGTCTGGCTGTCAGCATAGACCATTGTGAGAAATAGTACATTCCATTCCAGTTTGCCCTGCTTTTTGAAGATCTAAATGCCATTCCGTGTTTTCTGTCACATATTGAAGTTTCTTGGCTGGTTGTAAAAGAAAAATGGATTCTGCTGAATTTGTGGACAGAACAACCCCAAGGTTAGACAAACAATGAAAATGAATCCATACCTGAACATTTCCAAAGTTAAAATTTTCAACAGAGTTTTAACACACTGAAGCTTAAAATATATTGACTCTGAAATGTCAAGGGGCAAACACCAATTTCACTGTCCATTATGAAATATTTCAACCAAAACTTGCCAAAATACAGCCATAAAAATATAGCATATGTATGTATGAGCAAACTAATGCTAAAAATGTCTAATTTTCTTGGCTAGTTTTTCAAGGACCAGATTCATGAATGTTATTTCAAGGAAAAAATAGTCAGAATTATTTTGAATGATGTGCTCCTGACCTTGTTCTTAAAATCTACTTGTGGTAGCTTTTGGAAAGAATGTGTTTCACACCAATGTGCAGGCCTCGCTGGAAGAACTTCAAGAGAGGTTTGTGAAACTCAAAGTCTATTTGTTTTGACTAGAAACTTCCAGATAAATACTTTAGAGAATCTTGGGTATAAAATAACTAAAGAGATGAGAAGGCTTTATTCATTATTCCATTTTCTCCTTACACCTTAAAACACTTTTTAATTTTTTGATATATCTAGCTTTTGGGAGAAAACAGTGCAAGTGTTATTAAAAGCAGCTTGTGTTTTCTTGCATCTTCTACACCACCCAGGAAAGAAAAGTTCAGGCTTAACAGTGACATGGTTACCACATCATCTGAATAAATTTTTTCCTTCTAAAATTACTATTGCTTTCATTAATTTTAATCATGATACTTAGGGTTGAAATCTTAAATAACACGGAAGGGGGGGCAAATGTGAGTTTTCAGGTATATGAAAAGTAAAGGTGTGGGTTACAAAAACACTGAGGAAAAACTGGTACAGTTCGTGTTTATTGAATGTCTTCCCTCTTAGGTTTGGCTGTGTCACAAGTCACACTCTTTAAACTCATTCCTCTACACTTCTGTGGCTACACTCTGGATCTTATCCTCACACAGATTGGCTACACATATGAAATCAACTCCCATTGTACTATGACCTTGGCTCTTAGCCTTCTAATACACTCCAATTATACCTGCCCTTCAGCTTTAGGGAGCCCACTGTTTCACTGACTCCACATTTTTTTCCTTCCCAATTTATCAGACATTTAACAGCCTTACTATCCTACTGGGCCTAGATTGCATGATTCATTTTGGCATAAATACTTGATCCATGTTGCCATCTAAACCAGGATTTTTTTTTCTTTCTTTCAATGTTTTTGTTTTGTTTGGGCCAGAGTCTCACTCTCTTGCCCAGACTGGAGTGCAGTAGTGTGATCACAGCTCACTCACTTCCCAGGCTTCAGCGATCCTCCTGCCTCAGCTGCCTATGTAACTAGGACTATAGTCTATAATGCAGCTAATTTATTTTTATTTTTTGTAGAGACAGGGTCTCCCCACGTTGCCCAGGCTTGTCTTGAACTCCTGATGTGCTCAAGTGATCCTCCTGCCTTGGCCTCCCAAAGTGCTGAGGTTAGACATATGAGCCACCATACCTAGTACAGACCAGGATTTCTCAGCCTTGGCACTGTTGCTATTTTGAGTGAGATGATTCTATGTTGTGAGCAGCTGTCCTGTGAATTGTAGAATGCTTACTAGAACCTCTGGACTCTACCTACTACGTGCAGGTAGTTACCCCTCCGCTAGTTATGACAACCACAAATGTCTCTAGACATTACCAAATGTCCCATGAAGGGACATTGCAAAATCATCCCCCGTTGAGAACCACTGCTGTAGACTCAGGGAAAGTGGTCATATCCACTTATCAGCCTTTCTTAGGCCCTATAGCCAGTGCCTGACATAGGTGTTCAAAAGTGGAACACCTCCTCTGGAGTGGAAGAATAGGCTTGCCTAGCTAGAACCTTATTAAAAGTACCCTGAGCATCAGTGGAAGAATGGATATGACACCCACTTCTCCCAACTCTTAGAGTGGGGTGGGAAGGTCAACAAACCTAAACATTAGTGCTGCCTATGTCACTTAGATTTGGGAGAACAAAAACCATGACAGATAAAGCAGTTTACAAAATCAAGCTCTAGAGATTGTGAATAATAACAATCATAATCACTTCAGCTACTCATCAGTTCCAGTGTGGAAGTTGATGATATAACATCAGCTCCTGCCAGGTGTGGTGGCTCACACCTGTAATCCCAGCACTTTGGGAGCCTGAGGCGGGCAGATCACAAGGTCAAGAGATCAAGACCATCCTGGCCAACATGGTGAAAACTGTCTCTACGAAAAAAAAAAAAAAAAAAAAATAGCTGGGCATGGTGGAATGCACTGTAGTCCCATCTCCTTGGGAGGCTGAGGCAGGAGAATCGCTTGAACCAGGGAGGCAGAGGTTGCAGTGAGCCGAGAACATACCACTGCACTTCAGCCTAGCAACAGAGTGAGACTCCATCTCAAAAAAAAAAAAAAAAAAAAAAACATCAGCCCCTAAAGTACTTCTTTAAACCTAATACCTGTAGATTCTATGCCGCTTCCTACCCCAAATTCCTGACCCCTCTGAAAGGAATACTGTAACAGTGAAGTTACTGCAAATATTTGTTGGCTGCTAAAATGGAGTTATAAGAAAGGGAGCTAAGGATGCTAGTCCTCCACATTCAAGCTAATAGAACTTCTTGTAACAATGGAAGTATTCCATATCTGCTGTCTAATACAGTAGTTACCACTAGCTACATATGACATGAGCTCTTGAAATGTGGCTAATGCAACTTAGGAACTCAATTTTTAAGATAGTATTTAATTTAATTTAATTTTAATTAGCCACACGTAGCTAGTGGCTATCAAATCCTATTTAACCATACAGTTCTGTACAACAAAAGTCTAGTTCTTCCTAGGGCCCTTGGGAGTAGCAAATCCAAGAGGGAGGATGAAACCAGAAATGAAACAACTTTTATTTTTCAGCTGAGAGAATAGGCTGTAAGGTAATATTTTTAGACATAAAAGGAGAAAATAGTGTATTTTTAAAATCTGACCAAAATGATCTTGAGCCACCTATCACTTCTATACACATGAAACATGGGCAATGAGACAGGAGAAAACTAGGGGAAACTAATTAGAAAATAAACTGTATTACCTCCTATCAAAAAAGGGCTGGGCTGGAGCTGGAGCCTCAAAATAGGAGGGATATAAATATAAGGTTTTACTTTGTACCTGACTTTTTGAAAATGGGATGGGGGGCAAAATCTAGTATTAAAGCAGGTAAGTGGGTTCTTTCTTTTTTATAACAGATGAGGGTGATGAGATCTTAGAGTCCTGGAAGGAAGAGCAGTCTGTGCTGACAGAGTTAATGAGAGGAGAGGATCTAGGAGTAACAGGGTCAAAGGAGAGGGGATGGCCTCCCAGGCCATGAGAACTAAAGGTTGTGATAAATTTAATTATAGTTTGTCCAAACCAGAGAGTCCTCAGAAGTATGGTATGAGAATCCTGGGTGTGGGGCAGTGAGCTCATCTCTGCTTATGAGGTGTGTAGGAGATGCAGCACAAGGTTCTTGTTACCAGGAGACCTGCAAAGATGGAAGGAAATGGCCAAAGGGCTCTAAAATGGCTGGTCTCAAATTCCTGACCTCAGGTGATCTGCCCTCCTCAGCCTCCCAAAGTGCTGGGATTACAGACATGAGCCACCACACACAGCCATCTTCCCTCATTTTAAGGGACTGAGATTCCAACTTAGAGCCCTTTGGTTGACAATTCCAGCTGGCACTAAGCACAGTCCTACAAAGATAAAGGCTCCAGGTGGCCTGGAGAGGAACCTTTATCTTTGTAGGACTCTGCTTAGTGCCAGCTGGAATTGTCACATGGAGCTCACATCCCCTTTTCCTCTGACATTTCCTAGGCACAGAGACTTCCTTCTATCC